GAACCTCGCATTCGTAGGCCACACATACAGACATACATACATTTATATATGCACATGTTTGCCACAGTTTTGGTGCAGTGTCATAAACATTTGTCATAATTAACACAAATTAGGCAGCATTTGAATGCGAAATGCTGCTGCTGTTGCTGCTGTAAATGCACCCTGCCCACCTGCGATGGCTTCTAACTGCCAGCTAACCGCTGGCTAATCCAATTAACTTAATCTCGGATAACGAGTTTCAATAGACAGCTATATATGCAACTGAGGCGAATGCATGGTCGTACTTGGTACGTACCAAGTATTCTAATTAAAAGTACTTTTTGTCAATTTAAGCAACTTTGGCATTGACTTGGTTTTTACTCTCGACTGGGCTAAAGTGCGTTCAATTTGTCTGAGATACAGTATCAGATCTATAAATGCACTATATACTAGGTACCAGTATGTAAAGCGTTCACTGTCGATGTGGCGTGTCAAATGCCATCCACGTTATACATTTCAAATAAAAAAAAAAAATTCATTGAATATATGTACACATGTATATGTGTAGATATGTAAATATGCAAATGGCTCCCACATCAGCCGGCCAAGTTGAGAACAGCATTCTAAGCCGATTTCGGAGTCAACCAGTTACTCAATTCGCATAGATCAATAAAAACGTTGATCCACAATTGATGTGCAAATGTGTGCAAAGTGTAAAAAAAAAAGAAACACTTAACGCGCACTTAGACGCGTGAGAAATGTCTAAGAGTCAATTGAATGCAACAAATTCTCAGTACTGTGTATTTTAGGCAGAGGCGTTGTCCGAACGCTCCCAATTAAATAATTTACAATTTTCTAGATTAGGCGCCGCCTGCGACGAGGCGACATTGAACGACTGAGCACGGTTGAGCTATGACTCAGTCGACTCTCGAGACTTGAGATCCGGTTTGCCAGCTAGAAAATCTTTGCTGGCGACACGCACACCTATTAAGGATTTGGAGATTGCTGGCAAAGATTCAGAGAGAATGTCAACTCAGTCTTGCAGTCGAGCAATTAGCTGGTAAAACAAATGTGAGACAATTTTAAAAATTCCATTGAATTCATTGCCCGTTTGCCTGGCATCGTTTCTTGCCAAATCGCTTGGATTTTGGCGGCTTAGAATAATTAATGCACCCGCCTGCCAAATGGCCGGGTGTTAATTTATGGTTGTCTACGTAAATCGCATATCGTAAATCGTAAATATGCTATGTCTATGGCATAATCGCAAGCTCACAATTGCAGCTACCCAGTTGACTTTTGGAGGTTGGGCAAGGCGACAGACTGACAGACAGACAAACACAGATCAGAAATCATTTTTGATTGTTACTTTGCTTGTTAGCAATTTCCTGCCTGCCCACAATTTGTTCATATTGTGTTTTCATGCAATATATTTACATATTCTGGCCTATCTTGCAGCTACATTTCAGTATAAAACAATCATCCACGTTGCAGTTGAAATACATATATCTGAGTGAGCGCGAGTGGGTTTTATCTTTTTTTGCTTCTTATGGGAACATCACTTATCCCATTAGCCAACATTTGCTGGCACTTGCTACAAAGCTGCAGCTCATAAATTGAATTTACGATATAAAAATGCACAGGCATGGCTAAGTCAAGTAGACGCGAGTATATATACAAAATTTTAAGACTTGAGACCAAAATAATCTGGTTAACTTTTAAAACTGATTGCAATAAAAGAAACGCAAGTTTTTTTTGTGGCATTTCACAAACAAAAATTTCATCATTTAACCAATGCTTGCTTTTAAAATTAACTCGCAATAATAATCAAAAGACTTTTTCCAGTTAAGTACTTGACAAAAAATAAATGTGCAAGAGAATTTAAAATATATTTCCCTATTTTATTTGAAGCATCAGCCAAGGCCACTTTTTTTCTCCATTTAAGCGATTGATCGAAAAATGTATCAAATTACTTTTGCTGGCCATTGTATATTTGTAAAAATTCTTGACTGACCAGATTTGCTAAAATTGGTTCAGTGTCAGATGCTTTTCGACTTAAGATAGACTTAAAAAGCTGCCTGGAACATTCAAAAGAGGGTAAAATGTTTATGACAAAGGTATAAACAAAAAATAATGATTTCTGAAAATCAGATAGTTCCCTATACTTGATTTTATGGTAGAAAAATTATGCAATTAGATAACGAACAATTTTTCTTAAAACACGACAACAGCTAAACAATTTTAGTTGTTTCATATAATTTAAAGGCAAACATTTCACAGCATGTAAAACGTGTTGGTAAGGCGTTTGCCTAAGCCAAGGTGGATAAACTTAGAGCATAAGCTGCCTTAGGCCATAATTGTAGTCAATCCTGCGGCTATTAGCGCGACTCGCAATATCAGTTGACGGCAAAATAACACGCATACGCAGTGTTGTACGCCCCATACTAACACACACACATGGAGAGTTTGATACCCAACCCGTTCGGCCTTTCAGCATTTTTTATAGCGATATTGCACTTTTAAAACTGGTTCAGTTTTTCGATGCGTGTAGAATTAGATTCAAGATTTGGGTTTTCAGAGATTCGAGATCGTCAATTGCGCAAATAGGCAGGCGGTATTAAATCTGTAACTTTATGAATATGTGTTGGCAAATTTTGAAATGTTTACGCACGCGGCATGTACAACATGCATTTCGATTTTCAATGAGCGACAAACAATCTAGATAGACGCGTGCACACACATAGATACACACAAACAGAAACACATACACATACACACACACACGCATGCATGCGCACATGCGCACAGGTCGCTACAAAGCTGGGCTCATATGGGTATGTAAAATAATCGACGTGAAAATTTTAAGTGAAATCTAGATTTTTCAATTAAAAATTGATGCTGTGCGGCGGGTGGAACAGCCGCCGAGACGTAGGAGGAGCTGTAGGAGCAACAACAGCAGCAGCAGCGGCAAGAGTATTAGCAGGCTGCGGTTGTCAGGCGGATTTCGTCATGATGTTAAGTAGGCAATGGTCGTATGTGTTAGCCATGGCCAGCTGTAGTCGCCGTCCGTGTTAGCCAAGTGCCTGCCCGTTGGCAATTACGTAACGCCCCGCGGCCTGAGCTCAGTGCGTGTGTGTGACAAATGCGCGACGAACTAAACTCGACCAGTCCAGCCGAAGTAGGTTGAAATTGCAGCTGACTAGCAGTTGGAGTTTGCAGTTTGTAGTTTTGGAGTTTTCGTATTGGTTTGCAAATGCAAAAATTAAAATTCAATCAAATTGCGAAAACCCGAAAATCAAAAAAAAAAAAGAAGAAAATTTATATATATATAGGTAAAATAAAAAGAAATCCCCAAACAGTCAGACAGATAGACTAAGAGTCGAGCAAGCAGCCAGAGCTGAAACATGTTTCATGTTCAATTAACAGGCCCAAAAATCCCAATACCAACGACAGCCTTTCACTCGATGTACACTGCGTATGCGTATTATTCTCCATTTGGGGCGATAAAAAATCACATCATGACACGAAATACTTAATTGGTCCATAAGGTTTATCGCTGCAAGACAACTGAAATCGGCATTCCTTCTGGTCTGGCCAAGTGTGGTCCGGCCCGTTGTGGCCCGGCTCAGATGTGGTCTGGTCTAGTCGGGGCCAGTATGGACTTCTAATTGAAATGTCAACGCGTGTGCTGCTCAATCAATTTTCCAGGTAAGCGGCCGTGGTCTGTTTATGGTCAGTCTGTCTGCCTAGATCGCTTTGATTTTATATCGATTCATATTGGATCGCTTTTAATTGATTTGCACGGCATGTGGTGTCAGCCGCAAGTCAGGGACAAAATCTGCCAACTGTAGCAACATGAAGTTGAAATGTGTTGTGGCGACTCAACGACAGCTAATTAAAAACAATATTTGTTTCGTATTTGAATTTTTGGCATCAAAATGTGTCTACGCCAGCCAGTGGGCTCACAATTGACAGTTTTCATATCCTGAATTGTTTATTTGCTTTGAAATTACAGTTATCTTATTTTATGCGAACTTTAGTAGCAATCAATAATATTTAAAAGAGATTGATGAAAGCTTCATTTTCTTTAGAATTCCCTTTAAAGAGTTAAAGAGAACACAAAAATATTCTATCTGTTCTACTCTTGCTCAAAGGCCAAACTTTATGTGCAAGAAAAAAATAATTAAATATATTAATTTTTGGAAGACAGAAATTTAACCAATTGGGCTGCATTGCAGGAAAACAGAATGCATTATATTATGTGTTAGGCATATTTGATGGCTTAAATTCAAGCAAGCGTATATCAAAACCATTTATACAGCCTGTTAACTGGTCGTAACGCTATTTGTTTGGCCATTTGCAAGACAATGTATACCCCCGACAGTTATCGAACATACCCGCGTGCGAATTGTGCGCGTTTTAAAACGCGGCGACACAAAAGTCAGAAAAGTGACCTTAATTGCCAACAAGTCAACACTTGGTCATATCGCGGGTTATTCTATTATGCACTATATACACATACATATACACATGCATAAATATGGCGCCTTTTATCTAACTAATGCACAATCAAGGCCCCAGGCACGCACAGACAGAGACAAAATTTATTGATAGCGACATTAATACCACAAGTTTGTAATTTTTTTTATTTTTTGGTTGGCGAGCAAATTGCGTATGAATTTTAAATTTGGCTTGCATTTTTTTGCCACAGCTACACGCAATGGTCGCGATTAAAATCTAAATCAAATTAAGTCGCTTTAAAAGCATATGCAAAAAATAAAAATAAAAATACCTGGCCAACAATGCAGCAGGCGCAGCAGCAGCAGCAGCAGCAACAGCTACCACCAAGAGAACTGGGCAAAAAACGCACCACGCGCAATTTTTGAGCCGATTTCGAGCCGAGGCGTTTGCTATGATCTAATAAAATGCCAGAGCCAGATCAGCGCGAAGGTGGGGCCTCCAAATAGACGATGCAGGTTGCCGCGAGAGAACACATAACAAAAGAGAACTGCCAGCTGCCAACTGCGCAGTCGAGCAGTCATCAATTTTTCTTCAGGCAGTCAGGCCGTTGCAGTCGCAGATTTTGAGCTCTGACTTGGCTTGACTTCGCTTTTCCTAGCTCCAATATTTTTATGCTGCCGATTTTCTGCTCGTTTTTCCAATTCGCTTTTTTTTTTTTTTTGCTTGTGTGTGTGTGTGTTTGATTTTTCTGTCGCTAAACTGGTGCGTGGCTGCTGCGCATGCGTGTGAGCCAAAACTGACCGAACGTATATAAGCGATTATAGGGCCGGGCTGGCCAACAGTCAGCCGCGTTGCTCTACATCGAGCGAGCGTTGCGTGTGCCGTGTGCCGAAAGTTCGAATACGTTAAGAAACGATATTAAGTATACGCACATATAACTCAAAGGACATTCATCGTGATACGTTGGATTATAACAAGGATTACAAACGTGTGCATTCTTTTTCAATCAATTATAATTCATAATAAAATAAAGTTTATATAGTGCGCCCAACTATATCAGAACGTTTATTATAACCCCAACTAATTGTGCAACATAAGTGAAATTATGAAGGTGGGTTCCCAAAAAAAATTATAGTCAAATATATAAATAACAGCTCAAAATCCAAGAAAATAACTATGCCTCAAGTCTAAAAAGGATATATATGGATACTTGAACTATAAACCAGAAGCTGTGTCCTAATCAAGTGTGCTCAGCTAGAATATTGCACGCAGCCAAAATTTAAGGACTAACAATAAAATTAAATATCAATTTACAAATTAATATTTGCAAATGTGGCTGGGAAAAACTATAGAATACATTTATTTAAACACAAGTATAAATTTCGCTCGAGATCAATATTGAAATTTGTGGAACACGGAAATTAGTTTTTAAAAACCAATGCATAATTAAAATTTTTCAACAGTAGTTAAAAAAAAAACAATAATTGGAATTGGCAGAAAAATAATAATAATTAATAATTACAGTAAGTCGACTGGCTTTCTTCAAGGATAGTTTAAAGCATTCGGGCTCTCGGACTTTGGAGATTTGTTTCTTGATTTTAATTGAATCTAAAAATCAGCTTTTAAACAGAACAGTCTCACAATATAATACTTTCACATATTTTTGCAAATATATTGAGTATATGTTATTGTATATATCATAGCAGATTTTTTCGCAGGTGCTTAATTTTCAAATTTATAAATTGGACTTAAGCAACCTGGAAGTCTATTATGGGTTGTTTCCTTTTTTTTTTATATTATTTCCCACATCAATATCCTTTCTACTTTTCTAAATAGTTTTAATTTCAATTGTTTGAGCCCATCAGTGTTATTCTAGTGGGCGAATATTGTTTTAAGGCGAGTAAAATAATTGTTTTAAGGAATTTAGAATTTTGATAATATGCAACAAACAACAATAGTTGATACTAAAAATATTGACCATCAAAGTGTTTCTCTGAACATGCATAATAAAACTTTTGGTTTTAAATGCATTTTTGTTTTGAATGATTAATGTTAATATAAATGTAGAATATGTTGTATTCCTTTTTTTAGCATATAGATATAATCTGTTAACTCACCTTGTTTTGTTTCCATTGCCAACAGCTCCGACTTATTGCGCTGCTGAGCCTACTGCTCAGCTCGGCACTGGCTGAGCCCTCACCGACCGTAGCACCAGCGATTGTGCCGTGCGTGCATGCAAACGGCGCCGCTGGCTATTCGTATGCGCCACCGGCCGAAGTCAAGTTCTCCATAACGCCTGGCGTAACAAAGTATAGCCAGTCGCCGGCCATTTCCAGCTACTCGGAGAATGGCAAACTGCTGCATTCATCCGTTGGCAGCGCGGCTGCTTCGTACGAATCCACCGCGGGGCTTTCGGGTTATTCGCACGGTGGTGTAACCCAGATAGACAAATACGTGGCGCCCATACAGAAGTCGCTATTTACACCCTCGGCGTCATATGGTGGAGCTGGTATCACCTATGCCGATAAGTCACCAGCTGCTAAATATGCAACTGTGGTGCCATCGGGCATTGAGCTTAAGAATTTGGTTTCGCCGGCCTTAACCAAGACATTGCTGACTGCTCCCAAGCTGGACAGTGGCTATTTACCGCCGTCGCCGGCCTTGACCAAGGTGTCTACATATTCGTCGCCCGGCTACACCTACAGTCATTCAACTCCAGGCATTTCCAAGTTGGCCACTTATACGGCGCCCTCCGCTTCCAGCTCAGGCTACTACGCGCCACAAGTGACCACCAAAGTGGAGACCTACACCTCACCGGGCTATACGTACTCGAAGGCCACGCCAGGCTTCTCCAAAGTGGAAACCTACAGCTCACCGGGTTACAGCTACGCACAGGCGGGACCAGGTCTAGCTAAGATAGCCACCTATTCGCCCTCAGTATCCTATAGCGCGCCTTCTATTGCCAAGGTGGCCAGCTATGCAGCGCCTGCTCCTGCGCTAAAGCTGGCTACTACATCATCGCTGCTGTCCTCACACGGCACGGGCTACGCAGCCAGTTATGCACCAGCGCTTTCCAAGACTTATTTGCCGGCAGCGCCCGCTATTGCAACTCAATATATTTCCTCACCTGCCAAGGTGGCCACCTATAGTGCTCCCGCAATATCCAGCTATTCAGCTGCTCCTGCCATCACCAAGTTAAGCTCCAGCTATGGCGCTAGTGGCTCAGGCGCTATATCCCATCAATATGTTTCCAAACCAGCCGTGGCTTCCTATGCAGCTGCTCCAGCTGTAACCAAGATTTCCAGCTATGCTGCTCCTGCTATTAGCACTTATTCCTCGGCTCCTGCTCTCACTAAGATAGCCAGCTATGCGGCGCCGTCAATCTCTACGTATTCCTCAGCCCCTTCACTTGCCAAGGTTGCAACTTACAGCCAGGCTGCAGACGTTTCACATCAATATATTTCCAAGCCCATTGTGGCTGCTTATCCCGCAGCAGCTCCAGCAATTGCTAAGGTGGCCACCTATGCAGCACCAGCTGTGGCCACTTATTCCGCTGCGCCCGCCACAAGCTATTCCAGCTCTGGACATGGCGCCATTTCTCATCAGTACGTCTCCAAGCCGGCTGTAAGTACAATCTCCGCTGCTCCAGCGATTGCCAAGGTGGCCAGCTATGCAGCACCCGCCATATCCTCCTACTCTGCTGCTCCAGCTATCACTCAAGTTTCCTCAAGCTACGGCAGCTCTGGACATGGCGCTGTTTCCCATCAGTATGTTTCCAAGCCCGCTGTGGCTACAATTGGCAAAGTGGCCAGCTATGCAGCACCCGCCATTTCCTCCTACGCTGCTGCTCCAGCCGTCACTCAAGTTTCCTCAAGCTATGGCAGTTCCGGACATGGCGCTGTTTCCCATCAGTATGTCTCCAAGCCCGCTGTGGCCACAATTTCTGCTGCTCCAGCGATTGCCAAGGTGGCCAGTTATGCGGCACCAGCAGTGGCCACGTATTCCACAGGCCCAGCACTCTCAAAGATTGCCAGCTATGCAGCACCGACCATATCTACCTACTCAGCTGCTCCGACTATCACCAAAGTAGCTACCAGTTATGGCAGCTCAGGTCATGGCGCAGTCTCCCATAAGTATGTGTCCAAGCCCGCTGTGGCTACGTATGCAGCAGCTCCTGCTGTTACCAAGATTGCAAGCTATGCTACTCCCGCTGTAGCTAGTTACTCCACCGGGCCAGCCCTCACGAAGATAGCCAGCTATAGTGCCCCTGCCATCGGTTCCGTGCACTCCAGTGGCGCCGTCTCGCATCAGTACGTTTCCAAGCCAGCAACAGTGTATGGCTCTGCATCTGCTATTGGCAAGGTTGCAAGCTATGCTGCACCTGCGTACTCGACGGGCCCAGGTATTGCCAAGGTCGCTACCTATGCCGCTCCAGCCATATCCACATACTCCGCTACACCGACCATCACCAAATTGGCCACAAATTATGGTAGTTCCGGACATGGTGCCGTCTCGCACCAATATGTCTCCAAGCCCGCAGTGGCTACCTATGCAGCTGCTCCGGCTGTTGCCAAGATTGCCAGCTATGCTGCTCCTGCCATCAGCACATATTCCACATCTCCGGCAGTTGCTAAGGTGGCGACCTATAGCCAAGCTGCTGACGTCTCTCATCAATACATATCCAAGCCCATCGTTGCCGCATATCCTGCTCCAGCTCCAGCGATTGCCAAAGTGGCCACATATGCATCCCCAACTGTGGCCACCTATTCCGCTGCGCCCGCCACAAGCTATGGCAGCTCTGGACATGGCGCTGTTTCCCATCAGTATGTCTCCAAGCCCGCTGTGGCCACAATTTCTGCAGCTCCTGCCATTGCCAAGGTGGCCAGTTATGCGGCACCAGCCTTGGCCACGTATTCCACGGGCCCAGCACTCTCAAAAATTGCTGGCTATGCAGCACCCGCCATATCCTCATACTCAGCTGCTCCTACCATCACCAAAGTAGCTTCAAGTTATGGCGGCTCTGGACATGGCGCAGTCTCCCACCAGTATGTCTCCAAACCCGCTGTGGCTACATATGGAGCAGCTCCTGCTGTTACCAAGATTGCAAGCTATGGTTCTCCTGCTTTAGCCAGCTATGGAGCCACGCTCTCCAAGACCTATTTGCCAGCTACGCCTGCTGTTGTCGCTTCTCCGGCCATTGCCAGCTATGCAGCCCAACCTGTCGTAACAAAAGTGGCCGCTAGCTATGGTGGAACAGGTCATGGTGCTGTGTCCCATCAATATGTGTCTAAGCCAGCAATTGGCAGCATCGCATCTGGTCCAGCTATTGCCAAGGTGGCCACTTACTCGGCTCCGTCCCTGAGCCACATTGCCGCAGCGCCAGCAATCGGCTTGGGATATGCAGGAACTGGACACGGCATCACCAAAGTGGCCACCAGTTATGGCTCCTCAAGTCATGGCGCTGTCTCCCATCAATACGTGTCCAAGCCAGCGATAGCCGCTGTTGCCGCCGCTCCAGCAATCGGTAGCTATAGTCACGGTTATTCCGCATCCAAGTTGGGATTGGGCCTGGGCCTGGGCTATGGCTCCACTGGACACGGCACTCTCTCGACTCAATACTTGTCTAAGCCTGCAGGTGGTGCATTGCTGACCAAGTTGACGACGGCACCAGCAACTGGTCACGGCTATGCCAGCAGTACGGCCTATGGAATTAATGCGGGTAAGTTATCCAGCTGCTTGCCTTTCTTTCACCTTCATAATATTTCGTATCCACTTTACAGGTAAATTAGCCTTGGGTTCGGCTGGCGCGCATGACGCCTCATATTATGGCGCCATTTCACTTGGCCATGGCGCTGTCTCACCCGCACTTACCTATCACGGGGCTTTAGCCCATGCCACTGGTGGTTTGGCACATCTGGGGGCTCCACTCGCTGACTACAGCCATGGTCCTGGCATTGGTCCCTTTGGAGCTGGCTTCAATCGTTATGCGCCCAGCGTTTCAGCTCTGAGCGCTCATGCTCCGTTATCGCCCGCTGCCTATTTAAAATCCGCACCTGTGGCACAGCATGCGCTGCTAAAGGTTTTGCCAGAGAAGCATCTCGAGCATTTTGTAAGTCCCAGTTATATGGCATTGCTTCGCCCATTTTCATGTAAATTGTTTGACAGGATGCGCATCCGCGTTACGCTTTTGAATATGCGGTAAATGATCCTCATACGGGCGATAATAAGCATCAGCGCGAGGAACGCGACGGCGATGTGGTCAAGGGCGAGTACTCATTGGTTGAGCCCGATGGCAATGTGCGCACCGTCAAATACTATGCCGATTGGGAGACGGGTTTCCATGCCGAGGTCATCAACAGTCGCGACCAGGGTAAAATTGTGGCCAAGCGTCAGACAGCAGCCAAGTCGTGAGGTCAGTTCGATAACTATCGATAAATTCCATTGCCTCACTAAACACTCACAATCTTTTGCATATCTACAGCGACCCTAACGGATCTGTGACTTGTTTTGTTTGCCAGCAACTGTAAATAGCCTACGATTCAATTTTCTTCTCATTAAACATTAAACGTATTTATGTAAATCCCACAACAACAACAACAACAGCAACGACAAGCAACAAGAGAGCCGCCATCTTGCACCAGCACGTACCCGTTATCGTTACTCATTATATCTATCTCTTTTTTGCTCATGTGATAAGCGTTTCCAATTGGACTGCTTGAACTGCTCTCTTTCTCATTAAACTGCGCGTTTCCACAGATGTGTATATACATACTTATGTCTATACGTGTATATATTGTGTAAATTGTAAATTGTTAATTGAATAAACGACATTTAAGAACGCTACAGTCGAGAGCGCTCGACATTGAGATCATTTCTAAACGTTGTTGATTTTACCAAGAAATTCTCGGCCTTATAATCAAATATTTATATTCCGATTGGAGACGGGATCGGAACGGAACCTCCTTTGAAATTTTTGATATATATATCCCGATATTAGTTCGGCGTACCGAAATCAAAATTACATTATATTAGAATTTTCATAAAGTTTAGATTTGTTTTGTGTTTCAAAATGTTTGAATTTTTACAAAGTTTTCTCTATCTCTCAATATAGAGGCCAAAATTATAAAAGGAAAATATAAGAAATCGGCTTTTAAAAAAAAATTTAAAAAACTGTAACATTTAATTAGAAATTATGGCAATATGTTAAGGATGGCCAGAGAGCGGCACCTTTTTTAATAGGATAAGCAGTTAATGTGTATTCAATATTTTCGCTATGTACTGCAAATTTAATTATTTTCGATTAACAAACAAAATGAACTTTATAATAGTTAATAGGTTAAGCAGCAAATCACATTAATGTACTTTTGTTTTCGCCGTAATACATTTGAGTCTAATACTTTATTAACTTGGCCTAAAACGCGCGCCTCAGATCGTCGCTTATAAAGAACCCAAAATCTGTGGGCGCCGCGCGATGCGGATTCACTGTGCAATATGTTTGGAAGATATGTCGCAACAGCCGGCTGCCCTCCAGCTTTATGTGCGAGCGACGCTGATGACCGCCAGGACCCAAGTCCAGATGGGCGAGCAGCCATTCATTTTTCAAGCGACGCAGTTGAGCTTCCAGGGCGGCCAGCTCGCTGCTCGGCTCCAGCTGCGGCACATGCAGCGGCTCCAGGGCGGCAAAGTTTTTGCACAGCTCATTATCCCGCAATTGGACGCGTAATTTGCGTTCCTGACGCAGTGCCTGATGCATCAGATTCATTTCCCGGTTGCAGTTGCGGGTCGAGCTGGTGGCACAGGCGCTGTCCACCTGCTGCTGCTGCTGCCAATGCTGCTGGGCCTGCTCCAGAGTGGTCAGCTTGTCGTTTAGTATGTTAAGGGCGTGCTGCATGGCCGCCTCCTTGGAGAGCATGGCCTGCTCCAGCTGCTCCATGCCGTCGGCCATTTGGGTGAGGGTTTGGCAATAGTCCTGGCTGAAACGGTTTACCTGCTTTTCGGCCATCTCTTTGCGTACTTGAAGCTCCGAATAATCCTGTTGCTTCAGCTTGGCCGCATATTTAAGTGATTTTATTTCCTTGTCACGCTCCGACACCGCGAGCTCCAAGCTCTTGACATCCTCATAATGGCGCCTGATTTGAGCGGCGCGCTGCTGCAACGTATTGCAGGTGGGATGTCGCACGTATTCCGTATTAACATCTCTGGGTTCCAGCAATGTGCACAGCTCCTCCAGCTGCTCCTCTAGCAACTGCATGCAACGCTGACTATACGCATCCAGTTCCCGCTGCTCTGTCTCCTGGGCAGGCGCGAACTTGCTGTAGTTTAGACTTAAGACCCGCCAGAGTTTCTCGTGCGCAATGTCGCCATTGGACTCCTTGGTAGCCTCGCGCGCCGACACGCCCAGCATGCTGATGAGCGCGCCCAGCGCCTCGTTGGCCTCCAGGATGCGTTGGTAGCGCGCACATTGCATGCCCGTCCAAGCGGCGGCCGTCTTGTTTCCGCTCAGCTTGCGTTGCAGCTTCTTGAGCTTCTGCTTGGCTGCACAGCTGTGCTCCATAAGCAGCTGCATGCAGTGGAACGAGGCCGTCTGCTCATCGCCCAGCTGTATGATGGTGTGCAGCATACCCGCGTTCGCGTTCACCGAATCCATGCCCGCCTCGTAGACCTCAATCAGCGCCACATAAAGCTGCTGCTCGTCCAGCAGATCCACCAGCGTCTGTGGCGGCATCAGATTCTGATGCAATCCATTGATGTAGTGCAGCACCCGACGTATGGGCTCGCAATTGGTATGCTCATCCAGCTGACCTGTCTTTAACAGGCGTACAAACTCGTCCAGCTGCTGCTCCTGCGACTCCAGATCCATGCGATAAATGGCCGCATGCGTGCACAGCTCATAGTCACAGTGATTGAGGCCATGGCGAAACTGCTGAAGCACCAGCTGAAGGCTCTTCAGCAAATAGATGCACTGGGCTCGAAAGATGTAGCGCTGCACGGAATAGCCCTCAAAGATGGCATCGCGACCTGGCAGGATAACAAGTATAGACCCACTTACATATAGTCCATATCGTGACGGAGAACAAAACATGCTTAAAACACATTAAAACTTGTTATTAAAAATAAATCACTTTAAAAATGTTTTATCCATGGGGGATTTGTACTCCGATATATATGATATGTGATCTCAGCTACGGAAATTTTAATGTACAAAAATCCTATTTGTAATAATAGTCCATATGGAAAATCTGTATTGAAGGATTTGGTCAGGATATGTTATTTAAGTCTTTTTTATCTAAAGGAAAAATTATCTGGTCAAAGGAGTTTAACGATCCGTTGAACCCTCCAAAACCGATTCAAGCTCAATTTTTCTAAATCCTGTCCGATCTACTCCTGAGCGTAGTACCCCACAATATTCCATTTACGAAGTCGAAGTTGCCATCCGTAGATTAAACTGGGATCCTGGTATGCAGTTGATATTATTTTCCAGTAAATAAGTGATTAATTTCTCCTTTCCAAATAATTGCAGAGTTATTTTTGGTGTACTATTTATTTATAAATTAAACACGCACGAGATTGTTTCCACTCTGTTGACTAAATAAACTTCTCTGTTCCCAACCTACCCCCACACTTATATGCCCAACTATGCATGACAGAAACTCTTCCGTATACCCTGCATAACAAGGCAATATTCATCAGAATTCGAGCCAATAATAATAAACTTAAGAAATAGTTCTTAAAGGGGCAAAAAGAAATGGATGACAAGTAAAAATTAGATAAAGAACACAAAGATTAGGATAAGCCTTGTAAAGCTTTCGTTTAACTATAAATAACTGGCTCTTTTCCAATGGGAAACATATGGTCAGCAAGAATATATGACTTGGAATAGTACTCACCGAATTCGCAGGCATTTGGGAATTTCTCGTTGATTGCCTGGCAAACAATCTCCAACTTTTCGTTCATGCGCTCTAGCAGTAACATGACGAGCACCACATCGTGCTCACCACCACGCAGCAGAAACTGCTCCGGGACAAAGGCTAGCACATGATCTAAGTGCTGACGTTCGAGACGCAACTCCACGCCCTTAAGCTGTTGTTCAAGTGCGCGTCCGTAGGCCTTGCTCACACTGAAGATGTGCTGGTAGTCCGCCAGACTTTGCTGGGATGTCTCCTCCTGTTGCGATTCATTGGCGCTGCTAAAATCCTCGATAGATAGGTTGCCGCCGTCTGTTTTGAGCTGCAGCTGATCCTGGAGCTGACGCACCAGATCTCTGAACTTCAATATGGTCACATCGCGATCGTAGAGACTTTCCAAGGCGGCATTCTTCTGTTGCTCTAGCGACTTCACCTGGCCGCTTAGCTTGTCAATTTCATCACGCAAATCCGATTCCAGTTCCTGATTGCTTTCGATTAGCTGCTCCTGGATTTGTTCCAGTGCTTCCAGTTCGGATACCTCATCCTCTAAGAGTTTTACACGCTCCTCTAGCTCCAGTTTGAGCGTGGCCAACTGCGTTACCATAGACTCGGCACCCAATGAGGCATCCACCTGCTCCTTAAGGTCCATGAGCTGCGTTTCCATTTGATCCACGCGCCGACTTTGCAATTCCTTGATGCTCTTCAGTTCATTAATTTCAGAGTGCTTTGTCTCCAACTCTTTGTGTGCGCGCTGCGCCACCTGCTTCTCATGTGCTAGGGTGTCCCGCAGTCGAACCACCGTGTCACGCAATCGCCGGTTATACTGCTCCAGGCGCAGAAACTCACCGGTTGTCTGCAGCGTCGTTGTATTCGTCGCCTGCTTCTCAGTCTTCTCGAGGCACTGGTCATCGTTGTGCTCCTGTTCCTGCTCGGCACGCAGAATTTCGAGATCCAAGCTGAGCTCATCGTTGCGCTCCTGCGCCATCTCCAGCTCCATTTGCAACGTCTCCAGACGCTCTTCGGCCATTTCCTTGTCCAGTGTTAACAGTTCAACGCTGTCTGCCACATTGTCCAGTTCCCGCTTATATTTGGCGGCGGTCTCCTGGGATTCGCGCTGCTCGTGACGACACCGCTGCAACTCCCGCTGCAGCAGCACCTGCTGCGTCATAATTTGCGCCTTAAACTCCAGCAGTTGCTCGTTGTGTATCTTGATGCGCTCCAGCTCCAGCAGCTTTAGCTTGTCCTCGCTCTTCTGCACGCGCAGCAGCTGCAGCTCCTCGCGTAATTGCCGCAGCTCCGCGCTGTCCAACGTTGGCGCCACTGTGCTGGGCGTGCGCAATGCCGGACCCGGCGTAAACTGTGGACGCAGTATCTCCAAAAAGCCAGCTTCCACAAAAGCAGCCGGTGCCGCCGCACGCTTCAGGCTGCTAGTCGGGCTCATGCTCGTCTTGCTGCGTTTAGGCGCCAAGGCAAGCGGCACCGGCATGGCCAGAGTTAGTTGTGCCGTGGTGCTCTGCGCCTGGGCAGTAGTCGGTTTCGGCTGACTGATGCGCGTCGGTCGCAGCTGTGTGTAGGATGTGGAGCGTCGTTGATTGCAGGTCAAAGCTGGTGGCGTCAATATGGACGAGCGTGCGGCAGCTCCAGCTAGGTCGCACTTGGGTGGCCCAACGGCTTGAGATGGCAATGGGCTTGGGCTTGGGCTTGCACTTGATTGTGTGGCAATATTAGACGTTATCTCCTGCTTTTGCTCCGTTATATTCTGTGTAAAGGCTGCAGCTTCACACTGCGTTGATGCCACGTCCTGCGTAGACTCTTGCTGCGAGCTCGCAGATGGACTGTCCAGCTCCTGCTTTAAAGAGACAAGCTGTTAACACGCTTGGAATAATATAATAATGATGGCTTTTCTTACCTGTGCTTCCGATTGCGGCTGTGGTGGCGGCTGTGGTTGTAACTGAGTGGAAGTCACCCAAGTCTTGGAAGTGGTCATTGAAAATGTCGCATGCTCTGGCGGCTTTTTAGCTAATGCTTTAGTCGCCCTTTGGTTATTCTGTGAAAACGGTAAACAATACGGTTTAAGTGTGGATATCATATCTACGTTAGCTTAAATGCATATATGTGCCACAAAGGGACCTTTAACTCCACCCACATTTTTGCATGCACATGATTAACAGCTGTCATCGTGTGCAGCTTGTGACTCACCTGGTCGTCGGCCGCCTGCCTGCTTCTGTTCCTGCCGGCCAGCTTAATTTTGCTTACATCGCGCTGCATGCTGTCCTTTGTGCGATTGTTGTCCTGTTTTTTCTGCTGCACCACCTGGTTCGATCCTAGCAGCAACTGCAATTGCTGGGCACGCACAAAAAGTCCACAGTTGGGCGCACATTTAAAGTAGGTGCTGCCGTGCACGGTGCCATTGTTCTTGCCACGCGGCTCGTCCAGCACAATGCCAAACCACTGACCCGCCGCGAAACTGGTGCGTCCCACATAGGCTACTTGGCCACAAAGTTGGTGCTTGCCCGTTACTTGTACACGCTGGCCAAGTTTCAGTTGAGCTGTTGACATATTCACGGGTAGCTTACGTCATTTTGGCTTAACGCATATGGCCCGGCGCTGTATATCGAGCGATGGCGTGCCTAATCCCAGTTAACAAACCCCACCAGAGTGCAACGCAAAACTGATGCGTTCGTCATATCGTGCCCCACCCTAGGCCGAACGGGGCAGCGCGGGACCGAAACAAAGGGCCCACGGCTAGAGCGCAGAATCGTGAACTCTAGGGTGGTTGGTTGAACAACAATTGTGCATACAGCACGTGGCTGGATTTGCTAACCAAGTATGTAATTGACTATGGATTTAAAAAGGTTCTAAATGTCGCAGGTGTTGAAGCAACAGCTCCTGACTTATACATCGACGGTCGAAAAGGAATTTGAATTTGAATTTAGCAGTTTACTAGAAAACCTTTTCGTGTCTTGCCTTAACAATTCTTTTAATCAAAGAGGCGACAAATTACCACCGCTACGAGAAAGTGCGCATATCCTCGGCCCAACGAAGATTTAATACGCTTTTAGACATTAGTCATATATATAAATATACATGAAGTACAACATTTTTTCAAGAACCCATATTTCAACCGATCGTCCCTATATAGCAGCTATATGAGACAGTGGTCCACTTTGTCCAGTTCCGACATATTTACCGGCTGCAGCAGTAAAACGTACCCATGCACTAGTTCGCATAGAATCAGACAGACGGTCAGACGGACATGGCTGTATCAACTCTGCTTTTGATAATCTAGAATAAATGACAGACGGACGGACATGGATTCATCGACTCGGCTGTTGATACTGATCTAGAATATATATTTTTTATAGGGTCGGAGATATCTCCTATGCTTTACACATTATTTCATGGCGAAATTATAATACCCTCTTCAAGAGTATAAAAAGGCAGAAGTGCACGATCATAATATATATATATATATAAATACATAGCCGTCAACAGAAAGACCAAACAATATAAAGTCTCAAGACGGTAGCTTTAAAATTTAGCGACTAGTTCGCCTTTAAACAAGCAGACGGACATGACTATCAACTTATAATACCCTCTACAAGGCTATAAAATAAAGGTTTGATTGAAAATAAAGCTTTTGTGAATTTTTTACCCACCCATTGGGAGATCCCAATTTTGGGGTATAAATTGAATTTACCCCGCAACTTCTATATGAAAATATCTATGGCTTGAAATATTTTCAGTAGAACGGGGAATATAAGTTGATTTAAAAATAAATTTTTATACATACCAATAATCAAGGAAATATCCTTATACATCAAATGCGATAATTTGAACCGCAAACTTGACCAATTTAAAATTATTTGCGAGTTTATTGTGACTGCAATTTATTATGTTGAAAAACGTTATATTGTTTTAAAATGATAAAAACCGACTATCGCAAAGTATTCAATATGGCCCCTCAACGATGGAAAAATGGGATCAGACACATTTTGGCTTAGTTCAAATGTTGAGTAGGCACTTGGAAACATGCTATTTATTGCGCTTAACCGGTGGTTTTGGATTCACAGAAGTTTTTTTGTTCAAAAACTTATCGTATGTATGTTGTTCCTCCGACAGCATAGCCAGAATGAGCTCTGCATGATCCTCAGGAATGTGATTCTTTAAAGGCACACAGAATATTATAACAAGCGGCAGATTACGACGAGAAGACCAACTTACCTCAGAGTCCGGGAGGCGCTCGAACTGTTCCGTCACCATTTTCAACATAGTGTCAGTTATCGCGGCAATAGATTCGTTTTCCTTTTCAGTTGATTCAATTGCTGAATTTGTATCCTTTGGATCACCCAATTTATGAGTACTCACTTTGCTAACACTCGATTCTGATGGCTGTATATCCTTTAACTCGTTGGCCAGAATGTTGATGTGGTCCATATTGAGCTGGTTAATGGGACGCATATCACTGCCCACCTCACGTTGGCAAAATGGACAATTGCCGATGATCTTCATCTGCTTTGCCATGATTATTGTAAAATTATCACACAAATTTTTTGAAGAAATGTATACAGTTCCGTTCGGTTTTTGCTCTGAACGTGTCAAGTGTCGAGAATAATATGATTGAATATGATATTTGAAAGGAACGCCTGCTGAGAATATGTTTTGTTGGCTACTAGGTTTTTTTCTGATTTTTATGCCACATTTGTCTGTGCCCAATTTTTAGAAATCTTTAAGAATTGGCATCAGTCATAATATTTGTTAAAGCATTACGTTACTTACATAGAACTCAATTAACAAAACATTTTTTTTTTTTTAATAATAATCTAATGATTTAAACCTATTGCGAATTTATTGTTATTATGCACTGATTTACAGGTAGGGCCCAAAAATTTAAACTATTGACTATCGGCAAAGCTTTTTTTGTGCCTAGATTAATACGTGCCGCCAAACTAAAGCAATGAAGTAGATTTTTCAGAAGACATTGCGGCAAATTGGACAGGTGGATTTGCTGCTCGTCGTGAACCATTTGTACTGTGTAAATTGTTGGAATAATATATTAGTAAAGGCTCCAATATATTTAATGCTTGCTGAGCTCACCAAACACGGCCCGTGGAATTTCTTTTTGCATGTCTTGCACGTCAATTTAGGTAACTGGCAGGTGTCCTGGTGTATAACCGTATAACAAACATAACATTCCTCCACGCCCTCAAATTTCTTATCCAGATTGTTTTTCCACAGCGTAAGACCGTCATTAATGGTGCCATTCTAATGAGTAAACATTATGAGTACCAATATTGAGTAAATAATACAAATGAAGCTCTCACCTGATGAGTCAAAAAGATGGTCAGCTGCATGCCAACGTTACGTGAGGTGGCGCGTCCGCCAATTTGCTTGCCGCATTCAACTTTAACAGCGCCAAGCGGATAATTGGGCGCCAGGGTAATGACGAGCTCCATGCGTGCTTCATCAATGGCATAGACGGCCAAAACCTCTCGAGTGGATGTGTGGACTGTCACCTAAAAATGAATGGCAAAAGAAAATTTGAATGATCATGATCTTAGTGATCCATGAATATTGCAATAAAAATGTTCATGTCAAGTTAAATCAAAATAGCAAAAAAAACGAAGAGGCAAGATTGCAGACCCTGCTCAACTCAGTGCGATCAAGAATACATATACATTTACGCTGTGGAACTGGACATACCTTCTTAAATGCAACGTTTCATTTAAGTTGTATTTTTTAAACTAAGTAGCCCTTGTTACTTTGTACTTTAGGCGGATATTTTGTTTACATTTGCGTTTTATGTATAGATCGTAATCGAAAGTTTAACAAAGTTTTTGCGCAACATGGTACCACTTGAGATATTTCGGGCCTTTGTTATAATAGTGCTACTCATTTGCATTATTGTAGTTTTTGTGATGCGCATGTGCATCGAGGAGACCGTTTAAAGAGAGACTAAACAAAGACCAGAAAGGAACGGCTACCCACCTGCATATTTTCATGTTTTTCCTTGCGATTGACGATTGCCTTCAGCTCCTCGCTGCATATCAGTGCGCTAACGTAATTGGTCGTCAGATTGTCCACAAAGTTCTTCTGCCTGGACGGGCTGGTGTTCCACCATTTGCGCACCACGGCTGGCAACTTGCGCAACACCTCCGTATACAGATGGCATGCATACCGCTCCAGTGGGAGTTGAGGATCTGTTCGAGTACAAGGAGAATCAGTTAAAGAAATGCTATGTGATATTAGCAGGCCATTACAAACAAAATCAACACTAAGCATACACAAAAACACACCTCATATTTTCTTAGTACATTTTGTTTGTGATCATTTTGTTGTGTTGTTCGTTTCGTAAAATAACTTTCAATTTTTATTTCAATAATGGATAAAAAACCATTGAACTTCTATCAGATCGCCAGCGAGGCGCCAGCTCGCGAATTAAAGCTGGAGGGCGAAAAGTCCGTGGCGGACGCAATCAACTTTACAAAAATGCCAAGTGATTTGCCGCCATCTCGTGGGCCTCAGGAAACGGGCATCACAGTGGCAGATGAGCTGAACGCGCGCCTAGCCATGGTCCAGTTGCGACCGGATCGCGCCAAGCGCATTAAACGATTGGTCAAATCGGAAATACCGGAGCCGCAACATATGTATAAGTTCTTTTGCGTTTGCCCGCGCTATCATCCATGCTATGTGCCCTGCCAGCACACCGGGCAAATCATCATCGACCGTGATATGCTAAAGCGGGAGGAGCACACATGCTTTTTGGCTACACCCAAAAAGAATTTCCTGTCGCCGCAGCGACTCAGGCAACCGCGCTACATCACCAAGAAAATCTATGTGCCCATCTGTACAGCTCGCATGGAACGTTTGGCAAATCCGCATCCACTGCGTGTCAAGGATACGTTTAAAAGTTTCAAGCACATTCTCTCGCAACGGCATATTGCAGCCCTGCAACAACAATTAAAACCGAAGCCACCAGTCGAAGCGATGACCATGGAAAAGGCAATGGAGTATTTGGAGGAGGAAATGCGACAGCGTCGCGCTCAAAGGCAGAAGCACAAAAAGCGCTGCAGTGGGCTCAAAAAGCTCATTATTGAGCGTCAACGCAAGCAGATGATGAAAATTGTTTGCGTACTCTTTGAGGAGATGAAGGATTTCCTCCTGAACGATCAGTTCATAATTGACGAGCAGTCGCCTCTATCTGCTGTTATATTGGAGCGGATCAAGGAGTTCACCGGTAAGTTAAAAAGGCTACCACAGATCTTAATGAATAATAATAATAATAGGACAGAAAGATTAGTTTGCTTAGAAACAGACGGACAAGACCATATTGACTCCGCTGTTGGTACTGAGTACAAATGTACCTAGTTTTTAGATCAGACGCCCCCATGCTCAACTGCAAAACGAGTATAATTAACCGCATTTCTAATTTCGCAGAACAAGAATTCTATACCACAAGCAACTTGCGCGACTATCAACGCATTTTGGCCAATAATCTGACCGTTTGGATAAACAAGTTCATATCGAACTTGAATATATACATGGCACCACAACAAGTACCCCTGGCACGTTCGATGCACGCGGATAATGATGAAACGTTCGTGCCTGTTACTGATTACATTTCGTTGTCGGAAGAAGCGGGCGAAGAAATGGTGGATGATTATGATTTCGGCATGTCAGAACTAGAGACCTATGGCGAAGATTATTTGCGAGAAGCCCTGGGTGAAAACCTGCCCTCGGAAGAGACGCTTATCAATTAAATAATGCATATAGGTGAATCACCTACCCTTCAGTTGAGACCAGCTAAGCTCCTTGTAGACACCATTGCTATGCACCTTGGCGCTATGATTTTTCAATATATCCACCGGCATCGCGCGAAAGAGAAAGTGTAGAAAATTCTATGAAGTGTACACGAAAATTTTAAGTTTGTTAGACCCAAATCAAAAGTAAAACCGTTGTGGTATATAAAAACTTACCTCCTCATAATGATTCTCGTTCAGCCAGCTGGTGTAGACAGAGCGCAATGCAACTGGTGACTTGGCGCAGGTATTTATAATACAGTCCCATAATAGCAAATAGCTAAAGGCATCGTGTCTCTCGATTGGCTCTAAATCCTCTAGTTCGGTGACCTTAAAACTGAACTCATCCAAATACTTACGTATGAGCGAATCATAGCGATTCAAATAATCCTCAAATCGATTGAGAAAGTGCCACTTAGCGATCGTTGAAGAGGCAGCTTCAATATCTTCGCTTTCTTTTTCATTCAGCGCAATGTCGTCGGCCACAAACTGGGGCGTTAACTGGCGCAGAGCATGAACTGCATTCAGACGCACGCAATGCTGTGAGCTGTGAAGCTGTTTGAGCAGAAAATTGCATAAATGATCCAGGGATAACTTTGAGTTTGGCACTTTACAGAACTACGGAAAAGATATCAATTTAAAATGTGTTATCGTTTAGTTAGCAATTGGCTAAGCTACCCCGTAAATAAAGCTGTAGTCCAGCACTTCGAGCGCGGGCATTAGACTCTCCATCAAAGCCTCGTAGCACACGCGAAATTCTGGTTGCACACCTGCCTCATGAGTGAGTTTATAATATGATTTAAAGAGCACCACATTGACCATCCTGGCAAAGAGGCTCTCCCACTCATCGATCACATTCTTAAGTAGCTCCGTTGAGCTCTTTTGCTTCTCCGAGCGTATGAAACTATTGAGCGAAGCGAACAGTTGAAACACAGCCACAACGAAAAACGAAGTCTGTGAATATATAAATGCGTTAATTGATCTCTAAAAGCATTACTACATTTAAATTATACCTTTGGATCGCTGTAATACACTATAGACTTGGAAACAGTGAGCATCCAAGAGCCAAGACCAATGCTTATCGTATCCCAGTTCTTAATGTTTAGTTCATGGGGAAAGCGTTGCAAGATTTCATTTAGCAGCTTAATTATTTCCACGGTATTTAGCACTTCTTCATATGGTTGATTTATTAACTCCCTAAAAGAAAATTTGTATTAAAATTAATTATTATATTAGAGTTAGAATCAACCTACACATTATAATGCAGCAGCTCTTTTTTCGCATTTTGCTGTTCACCAACGCGGGTTAGGAACTGCAATGCCGAAGTAATAAAGTTTCGATCCGTTTTCTGATTTTGATCAGATTGAAAGTTATTGAGTAGTAAACAACGATAGACTGCTGCCTTCGTCCACCAATCAGTAGGTTCCGTGCGCATGACGGCGCTATTCCAGTTAAGTGACCGTTGCGAGAGTTTCGGAAGCAAGTGCTAAAAGGGACAGCGCTTTAGAAAATGGTAAATTAAATAATAATAAATTGCTCACCTGCAGTGTCATCACATATGCATTGACCGCGCCTTGCGATAAAAGCATCTCGCCAAGAGCCTCATGCAGTAGAATTGCGGCGTTTTCCTCAAAGGGCGCATATTGGTCTGTGTAAATCAGATAACCCAACAGGCGACAGCTTATGACGCTATTTTGTTTTAAAGCTGCCTGTTCCAGCCGCTGCTTAATGATGCCCACCAACTCACTGCTGTTGCCCATGAAGCTGCGCACCTGTTCGGATAGACTCAGCGCCAGCTCTTCACAAGCTCCATCCACTTTAAAGCTGACCTCCAGCCAGGCATCTGCAGCACCAGCCACCTGCATGCACTGCAGTACCTCCAAAATTAAGCACTCGCTCCACTGCTTGAGCAGATTGGCATTGGGATCACAGTAGTCTTCGGTTAGCTCATCTTCGCCTTCGTTGGACTGTTGCGGTAGCTGCGGATTATCAACACGGCAAACCAGCTTGCAGATTGTGGCAAAATTCAAAGCCGCGCGTCTTAGCAGCGGCAGAATTTTAAGTTCGTCAAAGGCTGCACTTTCGAACGGTACACCAGCGCTTTTCGAAGAGTACAGCGTATCCAGGTACACACAATGCTGCTCGAATTGCAACACACTGTCAGCTGTTTTCACTTCAGAGCTTAGCAGCGCCACCATAGTCTCGTCAATGCGCGATAAACGCTCGACCTCATCTGCAATGTTCTCCGTAGAGCAAATGACAAATTTGGCCATAGCCTCAGCCATGCCATCCAGGCTGCTGGCGTTCAGCTCAGTATTCAGGGCCAGTTCCTCCACAATTAGTGCACAACTTTTCAGAAGCTCATCGTTGATTTCAATGTCTTTGCTGGAGAGCGCATCCTGCCAGCAGGTAGTTATCTCCCACAGCGTATCCTCCGACAGATAGTCGCTAGCTGGTTGCTCTAAGCTAAACTTGTACAACCTTAAAAAGACCTGCTGTCGCACTGCCAGCGAAGAGTTCTCCTTGCTGCATATGACGGGCATTATCTGTGCTATAAAACTGCCACACACCTCAACCATATCGCTGGCTGTTGTTTCCTCTAGCGGCACACACATGGCTAGCAGTATTTTATCGACGGTCGCCGTATTAATAAGAATATCACCCGTGTCCGTTTGAAAGAAGCATTTATGCAACAAGTTCAATTTATCGCGATTGTTATCCACAACAACTTCCTCGGCAATGCGTGTGATAATAGTACAGGTGTCTGGGCTGGCGAGCATTTGGCGCACGGCAGGCTCTGTGCACAGCGGATACGAGAGCAGACGGTGCAGCAAAAGATTTTGTACGCGTTGTTGTTTTATCTACAAGTTAGTAATAGTAATAGAAAATTAGTTTTCAGCTGATATTTGCACTCCCTTTTAGCACTTCTTGAGTTAATAAAAAATCCTATTGAAGCCTTATTTCAGAGAAAGTTGGAAAGGAAACAGAGAGTTGCCGAGTTAAGATGACCCGAAGATTGCGATTGAGTAAAAGTAACGCTTATTATTTCTAGCTGTCTCTTCCTAAAATGTCCCCTCTGCAATTCTCACGAGTTATTGATAGCAGCTGTTTATCTAATGATTAAGATTAGTTTTGCTAAATAATCGGACTTTTCTTACCTTCAATAGCGTGTCAGCAATGTACTCAAAGCGCGGCTCCGGCTCTAGCAGGGAAAGAATCTCAAAGAGTATTTCTACCACCGACTCGCTGGCATCGTCATTTAATTTTCCCAAAAGCGTCACAAATTTATCCAGCGTTGCACGCAGTTCACCTTGATCTGTCAGACTTTTGTAGAATTCGGCATCTGTGAACATTTTAGTCAGCGTGCGCACCTGACTTATGAACCGAGCGGAGTTGCTGCTGCTGCTCGCTTTGTCCAGGCAAATGCGTACCAATTTTACCACAAGCTGTTTGAGCTCTTTTTGTATGAAGGCGGCTGCGTCGTGCACTTTTCTGGTGGGCGTTGATTGTTGCGAAGCCGTGCCAAGATTGATTTCCTCGTCTGCCTCCACGAACTTGACGCACTGCGTTTCCAAGCTGGGATTTGCCACATGCAGATCCTGCACCAGCAGCAGCACATGGGACAGCAGCTGCTCATTGACATCTTCCAATCCAAGATCTTGTGTGACCAGCTCAAAGATGCGCGTCCAGAACTTGTTCAGTAATTTAACATACAAGGAGCAGGAGCTTTTGTCGACAACATTATTGCACTCACGATCCCAGAAAGCAACCAATGCTGAGGCTTGTTGGAAAAAGTACTTGACATGGGTACTCTCACTACGCAGCAGGTTCCCAATTGGCTCCAATAGCTGCTGTTCCAGGAGCTGCAAGCCGAACTCCTCTATTGCATCAGTACGCTGCGGATTGTTGTTGACCTGTTGCAGTATAAAGCGCAAACATTCAAAGTACGCATTGTGCATGATCGAGGTGTCCGATTTGGATAGTGGTGGCTCATGCGGACCCACGATGGCAGCTTTTAGATCATCGAAAAAGCGCTGATAGAACTCATAAATATCCAAGTCTTGCAAGCTGGCCTGAGTAATTTTGGACAGGAACGGGAGCAGATTCGGACAAATGGCATGAGCATTTCGATTGAAGGCATTGCGCAGCAGTGATGAGAGTTTCGGCAGCAGTGCCTTGCGAATATTGAGCGGAGAATACCTGAAATGGCAAAATATTTCTATAAATAAAAGAATGCAAATGCAAAATAAAACATAACAGAGTTGTTTGCTCTCTTCTCTCATCATACCAATCCTCATAGTTGTTTTGCAGCAGCAGCACGCAGCCCCAAACGTGGGGAGCCACCAGAGGATCAGCGTCGTCGATGAATTGAAAACTGGTTGTAATTAGTTGCGATTTTTGGGGTATAAGCACTTCCAGCAGATTGGGGCATTGTAGCACATGATAGATACAGTCAAACCAAGCGGCTCTACAATGCGCAATAAATAATGTTATATAATTGTTTACCATTTTTTTATGTTAATTACTTTATGGCCGACAGCTTGTGCTTGGCAAAGGTCCAGAACTTATGATGCGCTAGCAGCGTTGTCAATCCCTGCTTTAGCTGCTCTTGATCCTCCGCCTGCGACGTTTGCTCGATGAAAAATGACAAGACTTTAAAGCTGCCAATGACGACACGCTGATACTTTTGCTCTGCTTCCTCCGGTTTTAGACTTTTGCCTATGGAAAGCGTCGCAGGCGTGTGGAAGGTCAAATTCCGCGTGCAATACTCAATTATTTCACTCTGACAATGCAGGCAGACCTCGCCAGTGCGTGCAAAAGTCTCCCGAAAAGAATTGCTAGCAATGCTTGCTGCGGGCGCATAGCTGTCATATCGACTGGCCAGCCAAACGGGCACCAGTTGCTTGAGATACGGCGCCATGGCGCGCTTGCATTTGGAGACAAGCAGCTGCAGCACCAGCTGCGTTTGTTCACGCACCGAGTGCTCAACGTCGTTGGCCAGATTATGATAAAATTTTGGCCACAGTGGCAAAATGTTTTTGAGTGCATCCAAATCGGATTCTGTTATGTATTCGTGCAACTCCTGGAGCGCCTTTTTCTTTGTCATTGGATCCTTTTTGGATAGCTTGCGCAGTATTATTTGTGTCTGAGGGCTGATGCTGGCATCGAATGTCTCTGGCATTTGTTCGGCGCTGGCAAAGCCAGGAGCAAAGGGCACCAAGTTGCCATCGGCTTGAGCCGAGAAGCCAACAAAAATGGGCGTTGTAGTGCCCAGCAGTTCCGCGGAGCGGCTGCTGCTCGATGGCTAGCAAGATAACAACAAAATAAATTAGTCATCAAGTGTTTTGGCATGGGTTTAATGCTTACCTTTGCATTGTTTTTGGTGCGAGGCGCTTGTTTCGTTTTTCCACCCATTCTAACACGTTGAAGTAAGTTAGCAATGTGACCGCATGTGTGCAAGTGCAAAAAACTTCTCAACGCACACGGTAGTAAGACTAAAACAGCTGTTTAGTATTTTTACATTAGCATAATTTTGTTAATTACGCTCAATCAAGCATGAACAATTAAATGCACTTATCACAATATTATTTTGATTAAAAATCAACTGCACTCTTCACTTTTGTCTAATTTATCCATAGCCATCAAAGTTATCATAAGAAAATCTATCGATATTGGTATAGAAATATCGATAGTGGCGGCAAATAGTCGGTTCGATAGTATCTCATCACAATTTACCCGCACGTGTTGCATTGTTTTGATTGGGCTTATATTGTTTAAATTTATTTAAAATGTCTAAATTCCTATCATATTACAATCTATTTCCTATACCGGATCCCAAAGAGTTTCTGGGCATGGCTGCGGACAAAGAAAGGGGAAATGTAATCACTACGCTGGCTCGCAATGTTGTTGTTATCTTAAATGTAAGTTTCAATGTGTTTCAAACATTACCACTACAATTTCTAATATGCCAAGGACTGTAGATTAGCACTCAAAAGCAGCTGCACAGTTGGTCTATGCCAGAAAAGTTGTCAGCAAAAGTGATATATGATCCAAACAGTCAGAAATACGTTGGCGTGTTCGGCAACCACTCGATTCGTCTCTGGGATGTGGACACGCCCGATGTGACCAAGTGCAAAAAACTAAAGGTAATGTACTTCGCATGAATTATTGATATTTTATTAACTGCCCCGGCCCACAGTTTCAAAAGAGCATTGGTCATGTGGTACACACAGACCAGGAAGCACTCGTTTTGTATAGCGATGGCTACTGCCAGACGCTTTCAAAGGCTTTGGAATCGCGCAAAAACCAAAGGGAGGACTCCGCGGAGCAGTTGGCGCTTGCTGCCAGCAAAACTTTGAGCAAGCCAACAGTTCATACACTATCAGAGGGACAGAGAGTGCTCACTTATTTTGAAGAAAAACATGCAACGGGTGAATTTTGCCTCGTTAGGCGCTCCCTGTCCAATAGCAGTAAGCGCTCATATCCACTTAAGAGAGAGGCGGTCCGCCTAACAGGCCATGCTGTCGTTGAAGGCGACACAGGTCCCCAACTAATGACAATTTGTGGGTAACACAACTATTGCTTATTGTGCAAAAATCTAATATCAAATGTATTTAACAGGGTCTGACAAGCGCATTTTCATGCTAAATCTGGCTGAGCGTTCGCACGAATCTGGACCCGGTCAATTTGTATCAATGCTCGCTGAACTGAACGTGGAAAGCAAATTGTCGGTATACGGACTGTCACGCAACTTTGCGGCAATATACGGCGCCAACTATGGCCAAGAAGGCGCCTCACTGCTTGTATATAACACACAGTTCAAGGTGGTTAATGCCAAGCAATACTTTAAAGTGTACTTGGACTTCTCGCGATTATGGGCGCGCGATGAACACATTCTACTGGCCATGGGTCAGAACATTGCCGCTGTGCGCTATCGCATGAATGACGAACTTCTGATTGATATGCTGGGCTCACAGCTTCACGAAACACATTTGACGCCCATCGAGCTAGATCATATTAATGAAGAGGAATCACTGGAAGCCGCAATCAAATTTGGGGGAAACAGTCGTTCTTACAACACTTTGAAGCAGACCAAACAGTCAAAACAACCGTTAACAGATCTGCCACCTGCAGATGGTAAAACTGTGGCATTCGAGTCACCCGAAATCTCAGAGCGCGAATTAAACGAGGTCATCAAACATCATGTGGATGGTGAGCTAATGCAAGTTGTCCATGGTCTGGAGGATGTTAATATTACGCTTATGAGCAACTTTTACGATGAGGGCCCACAGAATTTGGCAGTACAATCTATTGTAAGACAACTAGAGCGCAGCGGAGCTGGTGAACTGGAGATAACAGAGAAGCTTTTAACATTGTTTATTAAAACCCAAAATACGGAGCATGTTCTGATGTGTGTGCGGCGTTACACGAACATCTCAGAGCACATGCTGGCCTGGTGTTTGCGCTACGCTCTGGACAACACTCCAACTGCTGCCACCAATGGTGAAGCTACAGATGATAAAGTGGCCGAGCCAGCAACAGTTAATGATGAGCTACTTAATGCCGTGCTTGCCTGCAGCTTCAATTCTGTTGCGATTGAGAAGCATCTGAAGCAGCGTCTAGAATTGTCACATATCCAGCGTTTGCTGCGTCATTTATATGTACTAGCCACTGCACCAAATGTGTTGCTCGAGGAGCGTCCCAACCAAAATAACGCCTCCCTGGGCAATACGCCCACAGAGCTGCAAGCGTTTCAATGGCTGAGCGCATTGTTAACCTCGCATATTACATTGTTAACCATCTCTAAAGATGAAGAACTGATGGCGGTGCTAACGCAATGGTCGGAACTTTTTCAGATATATAAGAGTACTCTGGATCCATTAGCGATGGTGGTTCCTCTGCTGACCAACATTATTGAACGACATCAGCTTAAAGACCCGTACCCCACCATGTGGTATGGCATTGAGAAGGTCAAGCTTTACTAACCAGCTCATAAAAGAATTCTGTTCTTAACAAAATTTGTTGTTAGTCATAAGCTTAATAAATGTAGAGCTAACGCCCATATATGTTTTATTTAATTTGCAAACGAACTGTGCAGATCTTATAAGCGTTAGACTTCAATAAATATTTAATGATAAGGCATAGATAGCAGATGATAGAAAAGACCGCAAAAGGGACGCATATTAAAATAGTTTAAGCATATTGATTTACTATAAATATTCTCGGAACGTACAAATTATACATTCAACTTAATTAAAAATCAAAAATACAATACAATGAGACACAGCTTGTGCCCTAGGAAATCAGAAAAAAACTTTTTGATAATATAGATATAGAAAGGTCAAATTATATCAACACATTTTTAGATCTGAGCAGATTATAATCAGCTTAAGGAGAATGTACACCCCAATTTTCATCTATGAAGCTTTTTTTAAAGCTTTTTTATAATTTTACAAACCAAAAGGGCTTGTAAAATTCGAGGTTTAATTAAAAGAATATGTTCGAATATGATTAACTTAAGCGCTTAATCAGCTTTCACATAAAATGTCTGACACTTTATAAAGAAAGAAAATCCTTACAATTATCCGCATCATCAATAAACATTGTTTTTTTATTGCTGCTATTTAAGCGCTTTAAGAAAAAATGCGCCTAACCACAAGACGCAATCATGTCGAGCATTTAAGCTAGTTGCTACCAGCTGCTGTCTGACTAATAATCAAAGTTGACCATTATTCTTAGCTCATGGAGCACATGGGCGCTGACCAAGAGCAGAGCTCCATTTGACATGTATTCATCACGACAATGACAAACCACTTAGTCAACTTCAGCTTTAACTTTGGCTCCAAGTTGAACATCATTTTTTTTTGGTCTGCCTCTTGCAGGCACTTTCTCTGCGCCTTTCTCAGATTTGAATCCCGTATGCCGCTGACCACTTGAGAGCGATGACCAGCCAAAAGTAAAGAAAATACTCAAAAAAAAATAAAATAAAATTGAGGGGACGGCGTTTAAAAATAGCTACCAGTTTGATTAAACGTGGGCGCCCGCTTAGATGACTCAAACTAGGGGCGGCTTAAAGACATTTGAACTTATATGGCATTAGAGAGTTAAGTATTTAAATTACAAGAGCTTTGGCTGCCAGCTGAAAGAATCTTTTTTTTTTATTTAGTTTGATTGTAAGCTGAAGATTTATCGCGTGCTTGGGCACTGTGGGGGGAAAACCTGCTTGTAACGTCATAAAATCGAGATAAATTATTTAATTTTCGATTTCCTAAAACCATTAAGCAAAGGCAGACGCCTAGCTACCCCAAGCTGCCAAGTCATACCAAGACCAGGAGGAAAAGAGATGCAAGCAGAGAGAGGAGAGCGAGAGTGAGAGGGGCACTCTATAGCCCTTATGTACAGCCCGACTGATACTTCGAGTTCTTTATATACATGCATGTACCTTATACATGGCTATATTAAGGTTTTTGCTGATGCTGCGCTGCTGCTGCTGCTGCTGCTGACCGTTGGCTGCCTCTTGCTGCAGTGCCAAGGATACAGATACAGATACAGATGTATACAAGCATACGCCTACCTGTGCGCAGGTAGCGCAGGGCAGGTAACTCTTTGCCCGAGCAAACAGACAAACATTCACACACGCACACACAAGTGCAGATGCAGATGCGCGTTACTTGTTACAAACAAACGTTAAGAGATGACGACCACGATGAGGGAACGACAACGACAACGACTACGACACGCTACCCCCAACAACAAGAGCAACAACATTTAAGCAGCGTCATGATCATCAGGTTCCGGGCCCTGGACGAAGGCAAAGGCACAGCAGCCAACAGCATCAGCTAACAGCCAGGGCTGGGCGCAACAGCCTGATATTGAAAATGCACTTACACTTATTTTCAATAAAATAAATCAGTCGACTTTTTAGTCACATGGGTGTATAGTATATTAACATATATTCCCTTAAGAGATCATAATTTTCCATTAGTTATTAGACTAGTAGATGCAATCATACCTAATATAATTAATAAAGGTTAATTTCTCATTTCATGGCATCTTGTTATGCGCCCAACTTGAGCTGCTTTAAAAATAATTAATTGAATAATGGCAACGTCTCCCTTATCTTCAAGTCAAATATGCACAGTGAAAGGTAAGACTAATGAACTAAAGACTCAAACTTGAGATATACACGAGACCCAGTTACATATTCCATACAACTTAATCTAGATAATGCTGGCACAAACTACTTTTCTACATATAAACTAGATCCAAGCTGGCAAAATGTTTCGCTTTGTACTCAGCTTGAAAGTGAGATATAATAATATACATAAATTGGGTATTAGCTTTGATTTTAAAAAGTTTAAAGATTTTAAGCATTTAAAGAAATTTGCTAAATATTCTCAAAAAAATGTAATTGAGTGATTTTTGAATAATAAAAAATAATTGAAATTCCTATATTGTTTTGCCTTCCATAAGTTACTATCATATCATATATAACTTCAGCGTTTTAAATTTTAAATAATTTAAATTGCAGCCCTGGCAAAACCTGACCGATTGCAGCTGCTGCCGGCTCCGTGGGCCCCTGTGTAAGCTGAAGCGAGTGACTTGCACACCACTTGGCTCGCAATCCGGCCTGTGCCTGTGCCTGTGCCAGGGCCTGGGCCGGTGGCTAGTGCCTGTTGCCTGGTTGCTGTCCCGGTTGCCTGTACAAGGCATCTCTGCTTTGTCCATTCCTTTTAAAAATGTTATTCATTTTGGTTATTTTTGTTGCCGCACACACAAATGCATATAGATAGTTGGGATTGTGAGCGCACTCTTTCCATTTTTTTTTTTTTTTATTTTAACGACAAACCGGCCGGCATTATTTTTAGAATTTTTCAGTCAAACTTGTTACCATGCTGGGCGAAACTGGCTTCGAGGCAGCAGCCACAGCCACAGCAGCAACAGCAACAGCACCAGCTAAAAATGCAATGAAAATGAAGCTGCGGCTCTGATTCTGGCTCTGGTCTCCAATCTCCGGTCTTTTGTCTCCCTTCCATAACCAAAAGGTAACACTGTCTGTCTGTCTGTCTGTCTCTCTGCCTGTGTGTGTGTGTGTTAGTGACTTGGCATTGTTACTGTTCTCTGACTTTTTAATGCCAATGCCCAAAACTCGTCGACCAACAAAAATAAAAAATTGTATCGATCGTTGGCATTGCCTTAGCCGGGTTTTGGTGTTTTTCTGTTCGCCTTTTGTGTTCTGCTTTTGGCCCCTACACTTTGCCAGAGCGTTCTACGCAGCAGCAGCAACAGCAACAGCATCATCATCATCATCATCATCAGCAGCAGCAGCAGCAACAGTTCCAGCATCGGCATCGGCATCTCAGCCAGCGCCAAGGGGGTACAGTTTCGCTTCGAACTGAAAAGTTATCATTTTTTTTTTCTTTTTGTTTTCGTTTTGGCCGCTTTCTTTCGGGTTCGAGATCTCCGGCCGGCCGTCTTAACAACATTTACTTAATTTATTTTTATTTTTATTTCATTAATTTGACTTTTTTAAATTGAACGTCGCCGTTTCTGTTCTCTTTGCTGTTTGTTTCACAATCAGATTATTGACTTTTTGGGTTTTTTCTTTTGTATTTGTCCCATTCGTGCGTTGTGCACATTATTCAAATGTATGTGGTAAGCCTTTGTTTGGGCCAAAACATGTTTTGTTTAATGACTTTTTATTAGTTCTGGCCCTGGCTATGGCTTGCCAGTCCCGGAATACTAAATACCGTAGCCGTAGATTAAAGCCAAAGCTCTATTCAAGAGCTATAGATAGACTCTAAGTTGTGGTCAAGTAAATATGGTTCAAGCTGTGCCAGCCACTTTTCTATGCATATTCAGTTAAGCATTGGAGCCCAGGGGCTTGGCTAGCTGGCCAGTCAACTAGCTCGCATTATTTGATATGCTTATGCTTATTAACTGGTCCAATAGACTGTTGCCAGTTGGACTTAAATTTTAAACCATGAACAAAAGCCTACAAAGCGCTTACAAAGCTGACTATGGAAATTATCTAGATACAGCTGGGAAGTGAACGTAGCGTAGAGCAGGAATCGATAGCACTTAATGGAACTACAACAATTGATTGACAGCCATGTGTTGAATAAAAAATATTTTTGCATATGAATAACAACTTTGTCGATATTACAGTTAAAAGCTATCTCTGGAGCTACATACTAATTAGTAAGAGTTTTATCTTACAGTAAAAAAGCAGTATAAGATGAATTCTTTACAGACAAATTCAAATATATGAGCATCAAACCGATATTTCGCGAAAAGTTGATTAAGTATCAGAAGATGGTCACTTGTACTTATTTCCTTCACCGTAAATATAGTTTACACATATATGATATGGAATACAGTTGTACAAATAGCTCAAAACAAACTCTTTAGTTTATTTGTATATTAAAGAGTTCCATTTTGGGTAAATAAAAGGCACATAAAACAATTTTATGCATCAATTAAAGTTGTTGAAATTATTTTGTAAGTGATAAAATGAAATTCCATTATATCTTATACTACTTATACGACATGGCATAAGGACTAATTTACTCTTAAGTCTGAAGCCAATGCAAATTAAAATAACATATAGCATCTTTTTTACTCAGTAGCCATGCGAAACTACCGCATGGCAAGTTTTGAGAAAAAATGCATAATTGCTGCTAATAAAATAAAGCGTTTAACCGCATAGTTTCCGCATTGACGGATAGTTAAAATAAAGCTAAGTACTAAATCAAATTTCATTTGATTTTGGCACAGTTAGAGCTTAAGTCTTTGAAAGATCACACGGCCCACAGTTCATAGCTGTTCCCAAGTAACGAAAACCCACAAAAGGCAAACACATTGACATATTTATATATCCATATATACACACATTAAAGTCAAATATTTTCTCTGCAACGTTCCCAGAGGCGAAGAAAAAGACAAACCGAAAAAAAAAATGAAACAACAATCAACGAGCCAAACCTCACGCTTGCTTGCCAGACAAATCGGGAGGTCGCGACGTTGAAACTTTTCTGTTTCTGTTTCTTACTCTTTTTTTTTTT